CCTGTCACTTCGAGTAAACCTACCAGTTCACGGCAGCTCTCCTCTTAAGGAAGTTATGCTAGAAGTTCCTCCGTAGCTAGGCTGCAGCTGTTTCGATGAGTCTTTCATATCCCGTTAAAGTGGAGACGTTGGAGTCGCTGCTTCCTCGCCGGCCGCCATGTTGGATCTCCCATGCCTTTCTTTATATTTTACTACATACGAGAGATTCCTAGGCAATATTGTTATTTCCATGTTTTTAACTTTATCTACCTGGCATCCAACATTTATTTTACAGCTTACTTTTTTTTTACTTAAAATTATTTTTATGACCATCATCCACATGGAAATATGTAGCCTGTATTCATTTATTAAGACTACGTAGTGTCCCATGTTAAGTATGTAATATCATTTTTAAAATGTCATTTCCTATTGATGGAAAGCCAGATGGTTTCTTATGTTTTTGGAATTTTAAGGAGTGTTTACTATAAATATTTCCCAGACATTCCTCCTAACATCAAGCTTAAGCTAGAAGTTCACAGAAGATTGATTATGAGAATACCATAGAGCAAATATCTCCTTTTTTATAAATTAAATGTGAGCAAAAGTCTGAGGAAATTCCTTTGCTGAAATAGGAGTTTTTGTAGAGAGGCAGAGAAAACTGATTGCATTGTTCTGTCATGCTAAACTGCTGTGAAAACAATTCCTCAGGTGCCAGCCACAGAGTTCTCTGCTGCCATCTGGCCTCTCAGGTTTGGATATGACAATGAAGGATGGTCTAATCTAGAAAGATCAGCTCAATTGCTCAACCAGACAGGTAAGTCTTACTCAGATTGGTTCCAGGTTGTGAAAAACTACTATTGTAGAAGGAGGGTTTGCCCGGTTCTACATAATCTCTTAAAAAGGCTTTTTGCTATCATGGCAGCTGCAGGACTAGGCTTCTGTGACCACATCTGTCTTTCATAGCAATTAATTCAGTTGATTCTGAACATATCATATTAGGTGGGTATCTGCAGGGAATTCTTGCCATGTCCTTGTTGTTAAAGATACCCCTGCTGGTAACTAACTTGTCACTTGGGAACCCATTGTTGGGAACCATAAAACTATTGAATTAAAAAAGCAGAATGGGTCAAAAATAAGGCTTGTTTTTGAAGAAAATTGCTTTCAAGAGCCCCAGGGCCAATTTTATTTGTTTCTGTGTCTTAGGATGCTCATGTTTGTAATGAAGCATCCTTTAAAATAGGGGGGAATTTTGTCATTAGATCAGTCACATGGAGCATGTCGTAAGGTAAATGAAGGGTTAGACTGGTTATTCTTAATGATAAGCATCCTCCTGAGAAATTTTGGTGTGTCTGATCCTGAGTCCTTATTTAGTCTTGATTACAGGTCCCTGAGGCACATCTGGACCAGGTTTTAAAAAGGCCAATAAATTTACCTCTCTGTCAATACCATGGAGCTGTTTGCCCTGGAATAAAATGCTACGGTGCCTCCTTTCATTGTCTCTCAACTTAAGTTGGGTATTTGTGAAAAACATGAAGGTTATTTGAAATTGGAGGAAAGATGTTCAGAATATTTGGAACTTAGGAAAGTTATGCTTTTACCCCTTCCCAGTATTTCCTCAAGGTGTTCCATGTTTTAATTACATTCTGAGTATGGGAGACTTCCTTCATAGCTTGGGTTGGAACCACATCCCTTTGGTGACTCACAAAGAATTACTTTGTTTTGAGTTTTATGAGTAAAGGCAAAAGGGTTAAGGACAAGGACAGAGTTTTGCTAATTGCTTTTTTCATTGTCATGAGTCCTTTTTCCCCCCCTCTCTGTGCTTTTGTTTTTTCTAAACAGGTGCAGATTTCATAACCATTTTGGAGAGTGATGCTTCTAAGCCTTATATAGGTAACAATGACTTAACCATGTGGCTAGGGGAGAAGCTGGGTTTCTATACAGACTTTGGTCCAAGCACCAGGGATCACACCTGGGGGTGAGTATACCTTGGGAATTAATGCAGAACACAGTCCTGAAAGACCAGGCAGCATAGGCTTGGAGTGGAAAGTTGGGATTATCATGTCTTTGTCCTGTGAACATGCCCCAGTGATGCTGCTTGGGACATGGGGAGTTGCTGAAGATATGCCTATTCCTTAATTTTTAAAGTTGTTTCCCCATTGCTGGGTATTTCCAGTTCTTTACCATTATAAACCATTTGGGGTAGGAGCTAAGGTTTAATACCAGGCCTGACTGATGTGGATGCTTGTCTCAGGAAGTGTGTGTTCTAGTTTGGAAAAATAAAAATACAGTCGGAACTTTGTATCTTCAGGTTTTTTTTTTTTTTCATTTGTGGAAACTGACCTCTGGTTGAAAATATTTGGGAAAAAAAAAGTGCTAAAATGTTCCAAAAGCCAAAACTGGAATTTGCCATGTACCGAGCACTGCCCTGAGTCCATGTGAATGAAGTGAAGTGTAGGCTTTGTGTTAGGTGTTAAAAATAACCTAGAGATGAGTGCAGGAGGATGTGCGTAGCTTATATGCAAATACTAGGTCATTTTCTATGAGCGACTTGAGCATCCATGGAGTTTGGTATTCGTGGGGTATCCTGGAACCAGTTCTCCACAGATACTGAGGGATGGCTGTATACATATACACAAAGAAATAAATAAGATAACTTGAGATTGTCATAAGTTCTATGAAGAAAGCAAGCTGTGAGTCACAGTAACCAAAGGGCGGTGACCATGAGGAATGGTGGTCCTATAGGTGATATGGTCAGGAAGGTCTCTCGGAAGATACCATGATGAGGACACAGGAAGAGCTGAGGAAACCTCAGGGTAAAGTCTGGAGGCAGGATGGAGCTTGGGGAGCCTGCATTGGAGGAGATCCAGGAGGAGTTGTTAAGAAATGAAGCCAAGGGAGGGCAGTTGACCAGAGAGGGCCCCTTTTACCCACTTGGGGCAGGGTGCCACTGGAGAGGAGTCATCTGGTCTGATATACATTTTTAAAGATCATCCTGGCCATCCTTGGAGGAGCGAGAGTAGGAGCTGGGAGACAGGAGATGAGGTTGGAGCAGCAGCACAGACAGGAGGTGACAGTGGTGATGGAGAGAAGGGGGCTGAGGCAGGAACTGTTTTGGAATAGAGCTGACAGGACCTGCCGTTGGCTGAGAGGTCAAGGTTGGGGAAGAGAAGAATCAGGAAGACTCAGGGGGATGTCTAGGCTTTGACTTGATTACCTGATGGGAGATGAAGCCTTTTAATGGCAGAGGAACACTGGGAGAGAGTGCATATGTGCCGAGCTGGAGATGCGCCAGGACAGTCAGGTGACATACAGTATATACCTTGGAAGGTCGAGTAGGACAAGCCCGGCTGGAGATGGACCTTCGAGTTCACCACTGTAGAGATGGATCTGAGGGACCTGACAAGGGAGTCTCAGAGGTAGCACAAGCACCTAGAGACAGAGTGAAACCTAAAAATGAAAACGGTTACTGCCAATGAAAGGTTTAACCTAGAAACGAAATTTGGTGAGCCCATTGGGATTGGTGTACTGATCATTACCTGAAAGTATCATCAAGATTGGGTGAAAAAATATTTGCTGAGATCACAGGAAACTCAATGTTTTTTGGAAGCTTGGCAACCCCAAGTTGGCTGAGGCATGAGCTCTTCGCCTCCTTTTCATATGTAGCTCTTTGACTTTGAGTGAGGTAGATCCCCTCCCCCTATATATGTTTATAGAATCTTTTTTTACAGTGTGTAGGGGGGGACCAGGGGTTGATCTCAGGGGCACTGGCCCACTGAGCCACATCCTCAGCCCTACTTTGTATTTTATTTAGAGATGGGGCCTCACTGAGTTGCCTAGTGCCTTGCTTTTGCTGAGGCTGGCTTTTAATTCTTCCTCCTTCTGTCTCAGCCTCCTGAGCTCCTGGGATACAGGCGTGTGCCACCACACCTGGCTATAGAATTTGTGTGTGTGTGTGTGTGTGTGTGTGTGTTACTGGGGATTTGAACCCAGGGCCTCGTACATGTGAGGCAAGCACTCTACCAATTGAGCCATATCCCCAGCCCTGGAATAATTTTTAATGTCTAGTTTTATAAATTGTTATAAATTGCTGGCAAGATATATTCTGCATGTATTGATTAATATTAGAATTTTTATGCAAATGTGTGGTTAGGATAACAATGCAGATAAGATGGATTTTATATATTATCGAAGCCTACATTTTCGTGTCTCTGTAGTGCTGATTAAAACAGACCTGATCCTGTGCTTTTAGGGATACATCAAGACAGGCTAAATAGTGAGATGTGGTGAACAAGCAAACTGCCACAGAATTCTGTCACATTATTGCTCTGACTGCCCCTTGGTGGGATGCCTGTAGCGTGACACATCTCTTTCTAATGCATTTTCTTCATCCTGCCTAACTGATAGGATGGGACTGATGTTGATGGCCCTCTTTTTTCCTTCCAATACAGGATCATGGTGTTATCAAGATACCCAATTGTGAAATCGGAGCATCACCTTCTTCCGTCACCAGAGGGCGAGATTGCACCAGCCATAACCCTGACTGTCAACATCTCCGACAAATTTGTGGATTTTGTTGTGACACACTTTGGAAACCATGAGTAGGTTTCTCTGACTTAATATTATACAAATGCCATGAAATATCATCAACGTGTTCCTTTGATTTCTATGAAAGAATCTTTTATGCTTCCTTCTTTTCTCACCTCTCAAAGAAATTCCCCTGCATCGCTGGTTGCAACAATGAGATGTAGAAGCTTTGGGGATGCAGGCAGTCCTTAGAGGTGGTGTAGTGATGGGCTGTGTTAGCCCTCAATGACTGAAATGTGCAGTCGTTCTCTCTGCAGGTGCTATGCTAAGGGCATCATTATATTTAATCTTCACTCTGTAGGAGGTAAGTACCATTAAAGCCCCATTTTATAGATAGAGACTCTGGACATTAGACACTAGATTAACTTGACTGGCCAAGGTCACACAGCTAAGAAGTGGTTTGACTCAAACTCAGCCCACCGGTGGTTGGAACCACGGGTAAGCCAGACTGCAGAAAAATTAATTCCCTTTTCCTATAGGATTATTGATAGAAATAGGAGCACCGTTGGGATTTGAGGGTGCTATATGAGGTACCTTTTTTCATTCATGTATTCACAAGGCAGAAGAATATATAGGCAGAAGAATCTGGCAGATGGAAATGAAAATTCCACTTTAATACTGATAAGACTATTTGGACAACAAGGCTTATGTGGCCATATGACCTAGCTAATGTGTCCCCTCACAGTACAGGAAACAGACTCCCCACAAACACTAGGCCTCCTAACAGGTGCAAGACCTGCCTTGTTAAGCTCTTCCTTTGGTGAAAGGGACCAGTTAGAAAATTCTCTGTCTACAAAACCAGTGGATTCCAGAGAGGAAGGGCTCGAGACAGAAATAGCCAGTTAATTTTTTCACACTTAGCTAGAAAATTCTTCCCTGAAAGTAAAGGATGGGGAGAAAGGCCAGTGGTGGTTTTATAAGTCAGTCCCTCTACAAAGAAGCATGAATGGAAAAGAAGTTTTTTTTTTCCCCCAAAGAACATTCACAACCAGTGACTTAGTACTGAATAAATAGCTAATAATGCCAACAATATATTGTAAAAGCAAAGATAAAAATGTAGAGTTTATACTCTGCTCTTCTAAACATAATCACTTAAAACACAAATGTACAGTGCTATGTGCTTTTATCAAGACCTGACTGCGTTAATCATACAAGTAGCTATAGAACTTCAAGGGAGCACATAGAATATTAAGAAAACAACATCGTTCTACTATTAAGTTTCACCTCAACAAAACCAATATGCCTGCAAATGGTCACTATTATTTTTTTTCACTACCTTGATTTGTCTTACATTAATATGTGTGGATCTGTAAAAGCATATTTGAATATTTTCCAAAATAAGTCAGAGCATTAGATATTTACACAGAACATACACCATTCACTATCCGACTCTTGTTTGCCTCTATAGAACTGAAAAGGCATTTGGAAGACAGATACTGTAGATGCTCCACATTTCTTTAAAAAAAACTGAAGAAATGCCTCAAGTAATGTTCATGTAGCAAGTATAGACACCCAGAAATCATATCGCTGACCTTACATTTTACTCCAGTTGGGTACTTTTGTGTTTAAAGTTTGAAAGATCTCAACCCCCAAAACAGTTGAGTCTGCTCTTTTATTCCTTTGCTCTCCATTCCCCGCCTCATTTAACTCCCCCCAATGTCTCCCAAAATTGAAAGAATAGACTAAAAAAAAACCAGGCCTTGGAATGTGCATGGCAAAGGGACGGATAGGATTGCCTTTGCTAACTTTCCGTTAACCACCTACTTGATGCTTTCTGATTACACCATCCCTTCACTTGCTATCTTATGTGTCTGATTTAATAATGACAAAAAAATGACACAATAATAATGGCTATTTCCTTTTGAGGAGATGTAACTCCAGGGAGTGAAGCAGTGTAGTTTAATGCTCAGGAGGATGGATTCCAGAGCTTGGAATCAGAGAGTCTGGTTAAAATCCTAATTCCATCACTAGCTGTGTATCCTTTACAGTTCTTTAACTATGTGGAGCCTTGGTTTCCTCATTTGTAAGTTAGGGGCAATCATGGTATTTATTTTACAGAGTTCTTATAAGAAAAAAGTGAGATATTTCAGGTAAAGTACATGAATCTAGTAAGTGCTTAACTAATGCTGGCTATTATTAAACCAAATCAGGCAACTCCAAATGTAAAAAAGAAATTATTTCTTAAAAAAGAAATTATTTGTCAAACACAAATCAAGCTCTGTCATGTACCAAGCATAAGGTCAGACACAATCTTTGTCCTTAAGAGCCACCACTCTTGTCACTCCTTAGAATTTCTGTCCATGAACACTGTGGCCTCCCAACAAGTGACAGAGGAAGTTTGCACCTAGAAAAATTTGTGAAGCCATCATAATGTATTTGTGTTTGCCTTCGTTGTTTTCTACAATACTTTATAGAAAAATTCTTACTCTGGATAAATATTTAGAGATTTCCTTTCCCAGTGATTGTGGCATACAAATGTGAAAATCCTATTAGGAGTGAATTAGAGAATGCTTGTGCGTGTTATTAGCTGATTCAACAAGAATGTTTAATGTGCCGAGCATGCGAATATCTCTTTTACAACCAATAAATAGGAAATAGCAGCTTTTCTTAGAAGTCATTTAGGTAAACACCATAATGAAAGTTGATATTACTTTAGCTGATTAACCAAGCTACTGGCTAGCCACCATTGCCTTTTTCTAAATCTATAACCTGCATCATATACAGAGAGAAAACAGAACCAGTGGTCTGGAGATTTATACGCTAGTTTTGGTTCTGTTGCAGGGGATCCTTGGTGAGTTCCAATTGATCGTTTCCGAAAATCAGATAAAATCCTCTTTTTCAGCTCACATTATATTGCTATTGGGCTGATCAAATATTAACACATAAGTAAACATATAACATGTATGTTCTCTCACTCTCTTTCCCTCTCACTCCTTCCTCCTTTCTTCATGCACATAGTATACTTTTTATTTTTACTGTTATCAGTAGATGAGATTTTTCTCTTTGAGAAAATGTAGAACCAAATTCACAAATTATTTTCCAGCAATATAGTGCTAAACTATATTTGAATGGGCTGTGGCTTTGGAATTTTCTAAACCTGGATTTGAATTCTACCTGCATGTATCAGAAGGAACCGAATTCACCACAGTCCTGATGAGGCTTTACCAAGGTTGGAAGGGTCCATGGGAACACAGGAGGTGCTGAGGCTCTCAGATGCTATTCACAGTGGGAAATCATTGCCAGCCTTACAGCTGAAGAGGCAGGCAGAGGACATCGTGTTCTGAGGGTCCTGTGAGATCTAGAACCAGGAAGAGGACCACTAGACATGAAGAATGAGCTACTGCCAGAGGGACTGGCCAAAAAGACCCAACTTCACCCTTCTCCTAACATTTTATCTGCTGGTGTCTCTGGTTGGACAAGCCTCACTGGAAATCAGATAAGGGACCCAGGAGGTGATTCTGAAAGAGTCAGAATCACCCAGGACACAGAGAAGGGGAGATGGGCAGGGGAGATGGAGAATACTTGGCCTGTGACCTGTGTACACTTAGTCCTGTCTTCAGATCCTACTTCAATGAGGTTTCTCCAATCCTCTTGGTCCTCAGTGAGATCCCTCTTATCTTCCTTTGACATTTTCTTCTTAATACTCATTTATTAGCTACCTCTCTATGCAAATGCCTGAGTTAGTCTTCATTTGCTTTTGGATCCATTCCTTGTTCTTTTCAACTGTAAGGAACCACATTTCCCAAAGTCCCTTGCTTTCTGGTTTCTGGTGGGTTCAGTCACCGGCATTAGTGCAAGTTCTCTTAGAGAGAACCCAGGGTATTTCTCATTTCCTCTGCTTCTGTTATCCTTGGTAGCAGCTAAATTTCTTCTCTGGCCCCAGCTCCTTCCCAGATAGTCCCAGCTCCACCTGGCAGCCCCTTCCATAGTCTATCTCCTGCCAGCCAGTTCTGGCTTCTAGACTCTGAGCTATCATCTCCTGCCCCTCTGCTAGCTGTAGGGATGGTACTAGTTTCTCTCTGTTGCTAATCTCTGGTTGCCTCACTAGCTATAGGGATGGTACTAGTTTCTCTCTGTTGCTAACCTCTGGTTGCTCACTGACCCCTGTTTGGCTTCCCATAGCTTAGGTAATGAATTCCCTAACTTAAATTCATTTTGTTTGAAACATCTGGAGTGTTTCAGTTTTTCTTGCTGGATCATATAAAATATGATGTCCTGTTTTTCCCCCCAAAACCCTCCAAAAGTTTGATACACCTGTATCTAATTATCTGTTTTATGTCTTCTATGATTAGCAAAATAAAAGCAACATGTCCAGCCCATATTTAAGCAGAAGAGCTGAGGTGGCTTTCAGAAGGTGTTTAGTTGAGGGACTTGTGTGGTAGGGTAATAAGCTTGGTGTGCTCTGCTCCTTGAATGTTTGAGTTCTCCTTCTTACCAGTATTCCTGTCTCTTTTAATTTGACTCTTTTAGTTATAATACTGATGACCAGACTTCATGTTTTTGCTATTGTTTCTTCTGATGAAAAAGTTGAACAAATGCTGTATTTAGAATAGATATTTAAATCAACTTGACTCCTGATGATTTTTTGGAGAAAAATCAGGTTGTTCTTAGTCAAAAGTTTGTCAGCCTACTCAGTTGAAGCACTGTATCTAGGCCTTGTTCATTTGTATAACTTAAGATATTTCCCCAAACAGGAATTGCTCTGGGTTTTGTACACTGTTTGAAGATACTCTTGGGAATTTAGTTACCTAATAGTTTTTAAGAATTATTTTGCAAGTTCAATAGGAGGTACATTTTTAGTTTTCTGTTTTGTTTTTCTAGAGATGACCTTGACAGGAAACTGCAGGCTATTGCTGTTTCAAAGCTGCTGAAAAATTGCTCTAATCAAGTGGTATTTCTGGGGTATATCACTTCAGCACCTGGTTCCAGAGATTACCTACAGCTCACCAAACATGGCAATGTGAAGGTAACATAATCTTAATAGGATTTCAGTTTTATTAAGTAAAATGCTTCTTTTTGTTTCATGCTTGGGGGAAAAGCCCATATTGCAATACAACAATTTAATATGTGTTTGTTATGGTTTGGATCTGGAGTACCCGCCAAAATCTCAGATGTTGAAGGCCATGCAGCAGTGTCCAGAGGCGAGGCTTCCAGGAAATGATTGGATCATAAGGGCTCCAACCTCATCAGTGAATGAATCCATTTGTTGGATTAATCATTTAAATGTACTACTAAGAGGAGGCAAATGTATAGGCAGGTTGGCCAGGTGCAGTGGCTATGTAACCCCAGTGGCTTGGGAGGCTGAGGCAGGAGGATTGCAAGTTCAAAGCCAGCCTCAGCAACTTTGCAAGGTCCTGAGCAACTTAGCAAGACCTTGTTTCAAAATAAAAAAATAAAATAAAAACAGGCTGGGGACGTGACTCAATGATTCAATGCCCCTGGGCTCAATCCCCAGTACTAAGAAAAAGAAGAAGAAGAAGAAGGAAAAAAAAAACTATAGGCAGGTGGGGCATGGTTGGAGGAAGTAGGTTACTTGGGGCTACTATTTTATCCCTGTCCCCTTTCTCTCTCCCTACTTTCTGGCTGCCACGAGCTAAGACGCTTTCCTCCACCACACTCTTCCACCGTGATATTCTGCCTCACTCCACATCCAGAGCAATGAAGCCAACAATTCTTGGACAGAAACCTTTGAAACTGTATGTCAGAATGAAACTTTTCTCCTCTAAGTTGGTTTTCTCAGGTATTTGTCACAGTGATGAATAGCTGACTGTCACAGTGTTTTTATTATCCACTGATGCACAGAAACTCTACCACGCGGCCTGCGCAGTGGTTTCATTAATGAGGTTCTAGGCATAAAGTTAGTTAGACGAGATCGAAATAAAAACACAAGACTCAATTACCTTAATTCTATTGCTAGGTCCGAGACGGCTCCCCTCTCTGGTTCGCTCCTCTAGCCGCCCAGCAGGGCAGCAAGGATTACTCAGGGCTAGCAGGAGAGAGAGAGCGAGCACGCCGGGGAGTAGCCTTTTATTAGGGAACCAGAGATTCAGGGGAGAATTCCATCCAATGAAGGTTGAGGGGGGGCTGCACTCCAAGGTCAGGGTCAGCGATTGGGTCCCCGGGGTCAGTGGTCAGGCACACCCCCACACGGATGGGCTCTCTCATCAGGAGAGGGCCGGGAAAAACTTCGACTTTTGCCAAAGTGCCTCAGACCCTCAACGGGAGGCACCCGATCACGTGTGAGAATGGCTCCCAACAAGAAACCACCACAAACATACTAGCTTAAAACAGCAGCAGCCATCTATTTGCTTACAGATCTACAATTTGCACAGGGCAAGTGGGGATAGGTCATTTTTCCTTCACGCAGTGTCAGTGCTCATCTCCTGTGGATCTCCTCGTAGATGATCCACAGGAAGTAGGTTGGTGCTTTGGGCTTGGGACCTTGGTTCCTGTCCATGGGCTACTTGGGTTTTCTCACTTTATGGTGGCTGTGTCTCAGAGTGAGAATCCAAGAGCAGCAGGAAGAACCTGAATTGCTTTATATGATTTAGGCCTTTTAAGTCATGGTGTCACTTTGCTCTTGTCACAAATCTGATGGCATTCAACTAGAAGAAACAAACTCACCTCTAAATGGAAGGAATATCAGAGTTTCATCATAAGAGTTCCATATGGAAAGGGAGATACTGTTGTAGCCATGTTTAAGAAATGGAATCTGCCACATTGTGAGAGGTAATGACGCCGAGAGTAAAAGATGAAATGAAATGTCAAATAGAACAGCTAATCCACCAGACAGGGCCTCATCAAGTTGACAATGAATTCGTTTTTTCCTTTTAAGATTTAACACACTTGAATTTTCAGATATGTTCCTGTCCTGGAGCACGAAGACACAAATCAAAGCCTTGAGAGAAGGATACCCCAGAATACCAAGTGCATTGATTTAAAATGAGAAATATAATTTTTATATCTAGTGAACACCCATGTAGATTTCTTGATCCTTTGCTTCTTTTCTTTTTGTTTTTAACTTCATATCTTGAGACAGAATCTTCAGAGAAAAGTGATTGCTCATTTTGTGTTGATTTTACTACTTTAACTCTTCTTAAGAGTGTAACACTGGAAACACAGGTGACAGTGTGTGAGGATAGTTTTCTGCATGTATGGAAAACACAAATGAAAGTGGTTTGAATAAGAAAGAAGTTTGTATAAAAGCTTCAGTGGTAAATCAATACTGGCAAGGCGATCCATGATGTCTGGAACCTGAGTTTCTCTACAATGGCTCCACTCAACACAGCCTCCTTTCCCACGGCCTCCATTCACATGGTTCAATGATGTAGAATGACAGCCATATTCTAGTCAACAGATAGAGGAAGGGCCAAGAGCATATGCAAGTTATCCCTAAAGGCAAGTTCCAGGAAACTGACCTTTGATACTTCTACTTACACCTCCTTGACTGGGATTCTGTCATATGGCCATGCTTTGCTCTACAAAGAGTTTGGAGGTGTGAAATCTTGCTGGCTATATACCCAACTAAAAATGGTATTATGTTGAAAGAAGGGCAGATACTGGGGAGATGAGTTAGTCTCTTCATTCATGGAGAGTAGAATCGTGAAGCATTTCTGATTGTTTGCTTTGGTCAAAGGGTTTATGATAGTGACATATTTGTGATAGTGACATTATTCCAGAGAATACATAAGAAAGAACAGTTTTTCCAAGAAGATGATGAGTTCAGCTTTGCACTGAGTTTGAGGTATCTATGGGACTATAATGGAGATGTCCAATAGATGGGTGGATATATGGATCTGGAATTCAGGAGGGCAATTTGGACTGGAAATATGGATGAAGCAGTTGCCATCATATAAGCAATTATTAAATCATGAAAATATTACTATGAGTAAAAGAAGTGAAAAAGGAAAACCAAAGAAAATCCCCTCTATTAGTCTGTTTTGTGTTGCTTTAACAGAGTACCTAATTCTAGGTAATGTATAAAGAAAAGAGGTTTATTTGACTCATAGTTTTAATTTTTTTTTTAATATTTATTTTTTAGTTCTCGGTGGACACAACATCTTTGTTGGTATGTGGTGCTGGGGATCGAACCCGGGCCGCACGCACTCCAGGCGAGTGCGCTACCAGTTGAGCCACATCCCCAGCCCCTGACTCATAGTTTTAAAGACTGAGAGTCTAAGATTGGTAGCCCCATCTTTTCAGCCTCTGGTGAAGACCCCTTTTGCTGCATAAAATCATTCAACATGGTAAAGAGGAAGGGGAGGTGGCCACATGCTGAAGGGGCCATACTTATGGTATGACGTTACTTTGCAACAACCTGCTCCAACAAGGTGTAAGTCCCTCTGCAGACCAGCCAGTGTTTTCTGAAGATGGAGCCCTGTGACCTAACTACTTCCCATTAGGCCCTCTCTCTTAAATATCCCACAGCCTCAACACAGCCATATTGAGAACCAATCTTCCATTACATGGACCCTTGAGGGACACACTCATAACTCCACCAGTAAAGCCACATTGAATGTGGTGGGTGAGGAGAGAGAAGGCAGATTATTTCAAGAATAATCTTGAAATATTGGCTGGAGGGGCCAAGGTGGCCCCACTCTTACAGTGGGGTCCTTGGTTCTGAGGTGCTTTTTCCACATGGTTTCTCTTCATTATTAGCCTTGCTGGTTACTTCATTGACCAACTGTGTGACAGACATGGGGACAAGTTACTCAATCTTTCTGGGTCTCAATTTCCTCATCTGTAAAATGATGGTAACAACATCCTCACATCATAGGGTCATATAAGGGAATATATGTATGCACACAGCATATATGTATGGTTATGTATATATACATATATGTATGTATGTATAATATTTATATACACACATATGTATATATATTGTGTGTCTGGCTGTATATGTAAAATTAAATAATATAGAGATACTAGTACCTGGCCTATAAGATACAAAAGAATACTGGACATAGTGGTATTTGGCAAAGAAAAAATTGCATCATAATGAGGAAGGGCATTCTTACATTTCATGTGTGTGTGTGTGTGTGTGTGTGTGTGTGTGTGTGTGTTTGAGAAATATACATGGTGTTAGGGAAAAAGAATTTTATTTTATTTTTATTTAATCATCTTGTGGTTTCCACTGCTCTGGTCAAAAACTTGTGTCAAGATTGGCAGTGGATTCTGATGCTGCTTTTTCTATTACAAAGTTTATTAGTGTGGAGAGGAATTTCAATCATAAATTCTTAGATGAACAGATTTTTCTCTTTAAGAAAGAGTACTTAAATTCTGCAGCTTTAAAAGTTGACAGCATCTTTTAAAAACCTAATAAAATAAAATAATAGTTACACAGATTCATAGCTTATTATTCCCAGTATACATAGAATGATTAAATTTTTATCTCTTCCCAGGGCAAAACAGAGCAGCACTTTTATTTTATTTGCTTTTTATCACTAAAAACTTTTAATTTAATTTTTAAGATTTATTATACTTTTTTCATGTATATAAAAGGAGTGTCTATGTATGTGTGATATAAATAATAATAACAATGAACAGACATTCCTGTGTCCACCACCAAATTTAAGAAGTAGACAATAAATTGTGGGGTTTTTTTGGTGATTCTAAAATGTATTTTTAATTAAATGTTAATAGTAAAATTCAGTGGTAGTTAAAAAGTCAGGTATATCTTTATTTATAGGATATTTAAAAAGAAGAAAATGACTTCTCCTTTCAGCATAACAGCTCCCTATTTATGATTTTTCCAATGCAATATAGAAAGAAATATGTTTTTCTTCTCCTTCTTTGATGAAAAATGACCCTGGTTTCAATCTTTCAACATCAAAAAGACTTATGATTGCTCCTGAAATATGTTCATTTCCCTGATTCAATTTGACAAACACAGATTGAGCACCTGCTATACTCCAGGCCTCATGCTAAGTACCAGGCAGCCAAAAGTGACTCAGAGTCCTTGTGCTCAGGAAGGGAAGGGTGGAGACCTAGGAACAAATAACTGTGGTACTAGGCTATAGTTGGTGTGCATAAAGTGTGGCCGGTGAAGATGGTCAGTCATGCTTAAGATGAGACTTGGAAAAGCTGCAGGAGGTTGGGGGTTTTCTTATAATCACTGACTTATCTAAGTCCCTCTCTAGACCACCCTCATCTCTGTATTTCCAGTATCTAGTACAAAGATAGAGGGCACATAGTAGATGCTCAAAAAACATCTACAGAATTAACAAATACTTTGGACCTTAAAGGATCTAAATAGGAGCCATAAAGAGAAAATAGCATGCATGGAGGCCTGTTTATCATTGCAGCTCACACAGGTATTTTGCCAATTTGGAACAGAGCATTGTTTTTTTATGCTTTAAATATTCTTCTCTCTGCTCTTCAATAGGATATCGACAGCACAGATCACGACAGATGGTGTGAATACATTATGTATCGGGGGTTGATCAGGTGAGCACAGATGTTTGGTTTGTGTGTTGTTTTTTAAAAAATCTATTATTACGGTCATCTTTTGAGTTTCTCCTAGAAGGAAAAACTTTATGGATGCAATGAATTTTTGTTAGTTTTCCTAAACATTGATTTGTTCAGTTACTCTATTTCATATTGTTTTTAAGACATGGCCTAATGATTTAAGAGGGTATAAATAGCTAAGCAAATTAAGCTCAAGTATGTAGCAAGAATACTATGTCAACTGTTAAGGGAGATAAGGAAGTAACTGTCAGCATGTTAGGAGTGGTACTTTATGGTCTGGTGGAAACAGTATGGACCATTGTTTTAGTCAGCTGTGACCAAAGTACCTGACAAGAACAATTTTAAGGAGGAAAAGGTTAGTTTGGGGCTCATGGTTTCAGAGGTCTCAGTCCTCAGATAGCCAGTTCCATTCCTTGGGGTGCAAGGTGAGGCAGAACATCCTGGCAGAAGAGTGTGGTGAAGGAAAGCAGTTGGGAACATGGCATCCAGGGAGCAGAGAGGGCTCTGTTCACCAAGGACAAAATATAGACCCCAAAGGGATGCCCCCAGGAACCCACGTCCTTCAGCCACACCTAACCCACTTTACAATTACCACCCAGTTAATCCCTACTGGGGGATTAATTTATGGATTGGGTGAAGACTCTATAACCCAATCATTTTACCTCTAGGCCTTCTTGTATTATCTCACACATGAGCTTTTGGGGGACACCTCACATCTAAACCATAGCAACCATGGCATAAGGAAGTCCCAGGCTTGAATTCCAACTTTGCCAGTTTCTAATCATATAATCTTGGGTACATTACCTCACTTGGAGTCATCATTATACTGTGGTGAGATATCTATGGTAAATTACATTTTTAAAAAATGTCATCCCTTATAAAAGTGTCATCCAAAGATAACATATATATATATATGTGTGTGTGTGTGTGTGTGTGTGTATGTGTGTGTGTATCTCCAAAGATAACATAACATATATTTACATATTCTTGGATAATATATATCTGGATATATGTGATCCAAAATAATATAGATGCAAGATCTTAAAATTCAAATATGTAAATACATAACTGAGTTTTGAAAACACAATTTCTTTAAATAAAGCAAAGAGTAGTTTAATACCAAAAAAAGAGGTCCTAATTATTCATCCAGTCATTTTTAATAGTTTTCTAAATACATTTTTTAGTTGTTGATGGACCTTTATTTTATTTGTTTATTTATTTATATGTGATGCTAAGAATCGAACTCAGTGCCTCACACATGCTAGGCAAGTGCTCTGCCACTGAGCTGCAATCCCAGCCCTCATCCGCTCATTTATTCTATAAGTACTTATTAAGTACCAGGTATTGACCTAGGCCGTGAGGATATAATAGGAACAAAACAAAATGTTGGACTGTCACAGGACACACATTCCAGTGAAGAGACAGGAAAGAAGCAGATAAGGAATGATAGGCCAAGACAGGTGGAGACAGGTGTGATGGAAACAGGAAGAACTGAGTCACTAAGGAGTGCTGGGGGCGGGGGTAGGGTACATAGGGTGGGCAGGGTACTATGGGGTGACCTTTGGGCAGTGGCCTGAATAACGCAAGGAATCCACCTATGCATATCTTGGGAAAAGCACTTAGGCAGAGGGAATAAGGAAGTGCAAAAGCAAGAGGGGAGTATACTGAGTGCTTTTTGGTAGGAACAAGGAAGCCAGGGTGGTTGGAGTGTGGTAATAAGGGAGGAGCCCTGGGAGAGGTTCCTAGGAACAAATCATGTGGCCAGTGGGTTGATTTGCATGTCCTTCTACTTCTTCAGTGAACCGAACAGGCTGGAGACCTTCCCTGAACTCATGGGGGTCCCCCTGTTAGTTTCAAAACTGTTTGGAGATATTTGACCTGAAGCCTCCAGCTCCCCTCCCAGAAATAGTGTGGGGAACTCTGGTGCGGGCTACTAGGACAGACCTCTCTGGCCTCCATACAGAGCAGTTCATCCCCCAGAAGCATCTTGATACTGGCCCCATGAAGATAGGGATTGACATTGAATTGATCATCTCTTAAGCAATCTTGTATCTAGTGATCTGTGGTCCCCATTGATGAAGCACAATGGTTGCCTTCAAGGGACGATACAGAATTACAGAGCCAGCTCCTCTGTCTGTGGACAGGGCTTATTCAGTTATGAGTCACAGTCTAGTGACAACAAACCGCTAGGTACACTGCTCTGTTGCTATCTGCCATTCAGTAAGTAGCATTTGAGCTTAATGGATGTCAGGCACTGGGGGTGACAGTAAGCTGAGGATCCCTGCCCTGCTGAAGGAAGATAGACAATGGCATATATAACTGCATGATTTTAGAAGGTAGTAAGAGTGGGCAGAAAAATCTGAGCATCCAGAATATGGAGGCACAGTGTGATTATAAGTAGGGTTGGGTAGGTCGTACTGAGAAGATGATGTTTGGGCCAAGATTTGAAAAAGTGGATCACGAGGCTATCTGGGGAATGACCCTTTGTTGTGATGGGCGTAGGTACGACTTATGCAGTCAAGGAAAGAAATAAAGAATGTCCATGCACTTATGCCTTTATCAATGTTTTATTCACTCAAAAAATCACTCAATACAATTCACTCAATAGGTTCTTTTTTTTTTTTTTTTTTTTTAAAGAGAGAGTGAGAGAGGAGAGAGAGAGAGAGAGAGAGAGAGAATATTAGCGAGAGAGAGAGAGAGAGAATATTTTTTAATATTTATTTTTTAGTTCTCGGCGGACACAACATCTTTGTTGGTATGTGGTGCTGAGGATCGAACCCGGGCCGCACGCACGCCAGGCGAGCGCACTACCGCTGAGCCACATCTCCAGCCCACTCAATAGGTTCTTAATCAAGAAAATGATGATCCTTAATGCTGGGCACTGCGATAGACATGATCAATTCAAAGCAAACAATTTTAAGTTAATGCTAAGCCCTGCAAACACACTTAATCATGACAGACTATCACAGTCTGGCTGGGCACAATTCAGGAGCCACTTGTCAAAAAGTTTCAACTAACTTTATTTTTAGAACCACACACACCAAACAAAACAGCTCCTCAGGAAAACCCTCAGAGCCCAACTGCCACCACTGGCTTCAAGCCCACAAGCCTCTCACACAAACACAAGCCTCTCGCCCCCTCCCACAATCCTCCTGCTCTTGAGGCCGATTGGCTGGGTCGCATGGGCGGACCCAAAAAAGTCCCCCAATGAGCAGCTCCGTGGTCTGAAAGGGCAGGGAAACAGTCCAATGAGCATCACCGCAGAGGAGCCAATCATCTAGATGTTGCTGGGGCCGCTGTGAGCCAATCATCAGCCGGCAGCTGGAAGTTTGCTGGCAGCTGGAAGTTTGCTGGGGCCCCTTCGGCTGTGGCTCTCAACAACATACTTATTACAGGCAGTCCGTCTGCATGCTAAGCTCAAGTGCCATATCTAGAGTCTCAAGTCTTAGTCCTTAAGTTCAGCAGATGCACCCTCCTCAGACCACAGCGATCAGGTCAGGAACCGATGGAGGCTTCTCCTGGTATGGAGTTGACAGCCAGTTGAGGCGGACGATTGTGAGGAGAAGTTGCTGTTCTCACCAGGGTCAGGAGGCTGCTGTAGAGTTTGAGAGCAGTGAGGACAATGCAGAGGATCAGGCAAATGATGAGAAGAATTGGGGTGTCAGTCCAGGTCCTCATCAGGCTCGTTTTATAAAGCATTTCATATCTCAGATTGATAACACTATTTCTGTTTAAATATGTGACCAAGTGATTGTTTTAATGGGGGATATTGGAATGTTTAGAACAGGATATTTGATCTAGACTGAAATGGGTGTAATTCCAAGTTGCAAAAGTCATTAGTCACCGAGAAACAGTGGTATTTATAGTAATCTGTGCTCATAATAGCTAATTATTGGCTACACACACACACACACACACACACACACACATATGTATATGTAAACATATATATATATACACACGCACGCATACTTGTATGTATATATATGACAAAGATTGCTCTGACTGCTATAACAAAATACCTACTGGATGGCTGAAACAAATTTCTGTTCTTATTGAACATCAAGATCAAGGCATCAGTCTACCAGCAAGGTTGGTGTCTGGCGAGGACTCTCTGTCACCAGGGTTGCTTTCTTACCATGTGTTCACATGACCTTTCCTTGGCATGTGTCTGTGGAGAACTCTCTCAATCATCTAATTCAAAGTTTTGCTCCTAGTAGGTGCTTGATAAATACTTATTGGGCAACAATGGGAAGTTCCCTATTTTAGCGGGAGATAGGCATTGAGGTTCCTTATCTTCAAGGGCTTTTAGAGTGTTCTTGAAGGCAATGGCTATGAGATGGGTTTGAACTTTGATCTTAGAGATTTGGGAGATAAAGAACCTGGATTTGTCCCAGAGTCAGTGACTTAGAATTACAAGTCACTTCAAGTCCTGAGCTTAGACAGTTGCAGTAACCTGGCTGACTGCTCAAACACACATCTGATGCTCAGCGGCATCTCCTCTCTTGTTCCCTACGGGGGTCAGACTTGCTGCTCCTGCCTGCCCTGGCTCTGGGTGTCTGTTTCAGTTTTGTGTGTGGTTACAGGCTTGAAATGCTCTTCCTCCTTCTACGCTGGCCCAAGCCCTCATGGTCTTTTACCTAAATTCTTGCAGCGACCTCTTAACTGCCCCACCCCCGCCTTGACTCTTTCCCTAACACCTATTCTCTTCAGAGAGCCATAGCAGATCTCTGCCCCAGATCCCTCTAATGGATTCCCATCTCAGTCTAAAAATTTGAAGTCCTTACAATGGCCTGCAGGGGAGAATTTGCATCATCTATCCTTAACCCCCTTCCTGAGCTTTGGTGTTCTTTGTTATACACTCTGCTCCTGTCAAGGTAGAGTTGGTTCTCCAAAGTACCAAGCACACATTTCTACCTCAGGACCCCTGCATGCAATATTCTGTTCGCCTTCCTCTGAAATCTGTGCATCTTGCTCCCTTACTTCATTCAATTTTTGGCTCCAGTGTTAATCATCAGGGAGATACACCTGACCATCCTCTATAAAACAGCAGTCTCTGCTTTTTCTCTATCGACACCTGACCCATATGTCCTTATTTAATTTGTCTCCCCAAATAGAATAACAGATTCAGGAGAGCAAGGACTTAATTTTGTTCACTACTTTTTTTCCCACTACCTACAAAGGTGCTGCATGCAATAGAGACTTAGTATGTTTACTAAGTTAGATAAATGAATGACTGAAATAATTGACACAGTTCCTTTTTTTTTTTTTGGAAGAGGCAAAAGGTAAATAAATTAAAATGAATACTTTGCTGCTTGTGGTTCCTCCACTTTTCCATCTGAGCTCTTCAATAAGAACTATTTGGATAATGTCTGTAAAGTGCTTTGAATTTCCTGGAGAACTGAAAGCTCTAAGTCAAAACAGGATGTGGAATTTTTTCAGACATATAAAATCTTTGATTTTTTAGGCTTGTAAGTGTGGGCTGAAAATATGCATGTGGTATTTGGATTTTTAAAGGTAAGAAAGAATTTAGGTATACACTCCTGTCGTTCTGAAGCAATCCTGTTATTAACTCAAAACATAATTATATGGGAGGCAATTTGTGGAGACAGAATATTCATTAGTGTAAAAAAGTAAAGTAAGGCTGCTAAGATTATTTAGTTAATTAAACCTCTGTGTATATTTCTTATCTATCATATCATAAAATCAACACTTTTGTTAATATTTAGAGTAACGAATCAAGTTAATTCTAGTTAGGATACACAAAGTCAAGTTAGAAATAGGAAATTAATTTAATAAGGAAGGTGCTATCTTCTAAATCATGTCAGATTTTTTGAGGGCACATGGCTGAGAATTGACTCGAGAGTCTCATGGATGCTAAGCATATGCTCTATGCATCAAATCTTTATGTGATAATGAAGCCTTTATAAACCATCCCTATTTCTGTTACAGGTTGGGTTATGCAAGAATTTCCCGTGCTAAACTGAGTGACTCTGAAATTCAAATGGCAAAATTTAGGATCCCTGATGACCCCATTAATTATAGAGACAATCAGAAAGTGGTCATAGACCACAGAGAAGTTCCCAAGAAAATTCGTTTCAATCCCAGGTGAGTGGGTTCCCTTACATTTTAGGCTATGGTTATGAGCTACCACATTTAGGGAACTTCAGTATTCCTTCAAAATGAACTAGAAATTGTATTAGGTTCTAGAAGTTTGTTCTAGGGTAGAAGTTATATCCTTGCTTTCTAGAATGGAGAAACATATTGTAATAACAATCTTAGGTAAAAAAATATTCCCATTATCTTTATCATCACCATTACCACCACAACTGCCACCATTAACATCACTGTGAATGTTTGACTCGTTGTGCATCCCAGATCCTGATCTGGGTTCTTTATTTATCTCATTTTTGCCCTTACTAGGTTGGTACTTGTGTTATCCATATTTTGTTGATAAGGAAGCTCAGGCTGAAGAACATGAAGTAAATTCACTAGTATTATGTGGCCGATCAATGGTGGAGCTGTTAAGTAGATAGAAAGCCTGTAATCATCATGGGTTGCTGTGATTCTCAGCTCTTTCACACAATAGAGTCACCTGGAGGGCTTTTAAAAAATACCACTGCTTGAGTCCCACCCCAGACCAATTCATCAGGACCTACTGGGGTGCCTGGGCTTTGGGATTTAAAAACTTCTTTCCAGTTATTCTAATGTACAGTGAGGAATGAGACTGTGAAGTGTGGATAATTCACTTGCATTGCAGATATTCCACCACATAAACTAGATTGGGTTTTGGCTTACTTCATTTCCAATGGAGGTTATCCGAGAAACCCATTTGCAGCAGAACATACGATTTGGAGTACGTGCTCTTTTCTCTGCTCTGGCTGTATAGTGAGAGGAAACTTCCCCATAAAACCAAACACAGAACACATCCTAGACTTTATTATCATTTGACATTTCTACTACCTTTACCAGCTAATAGCTATATAAATTTCTCAGATCTCATTTTGTTGGGGGAAAAAAAAAAACACTTCTCCATTTCTTTTTATGCTCTCCCCTCCTTACAAAAAGAAAAAAGAAAAAAAAAAAAACTGTACCAAAATGTGGGCAGGGAATGTGCGCAGAGCTTTAACCAAGTCTTGGTTTGGTTCCACTGCTGTGTTTATCTCGCCCTGTGTACATGGGATGTGGTTGTAAAGAGCTAGGACCTGTGGTCAAGCTGCCCACTCCATTCCTGACTTCTGCCGTGCAACAGCTGGTAACTGTAGACCAGTTTCTTAACTTCCCTAAGCCTTAAGTCCCTCAGCTAAAAATGGTAGTAAAAATAGTAGCGCCTACCTCCTCAAGCGATGTGAGGTTCGGATGACACGTAGAGTTCTTAGAATGGTGCACAGGGCGTACTCTGCATGAGCCAGTTGCTGCAGCAGCAACCGCAGTATTTGTAGTAGTAACAGCAGAAGTGAAATAGAAGGTTTCCTCTCCTTTGCTGATTGAGATGACTTCTTCAATGAAAGCTAGAAAATGTGGAAGGAAAAATCATTTCTTGTTTCCTTATTCTTTATATATGGGGAGTGTGGAGAAATCCAAGTAAAATATTTTTGGCTAATCACAACCGCAGACTGAGCCAAAACAACTGTGACCAGAGCTAGATCTGGTTTCTGACCCAGTTTAATTATGCAAATGACAAAGTTATAAGCAGAAGTCTTGCCTTACTTTAAAAGTTGTGGTGAGAAGGTTTAAGATCTACTCTCTTAGTAGGCTGAAATGTGTGACATATTATTAACTGTAGTCAGTGCGTTACAAGAGCTCTCCAGGATTTATTCATCCCATGTAATTGAAATTTTGAATCCCTTGAATCAACATCTCCTTCCAACCCAGCCCTGGCAGCCACCATTATACTCTCTGCTTCTTTGAGTTCAATCTTTTTTAGATTGCACATATAAGTGAAATCATACAGTATTTGTCTTTCTGTGACTGGATTATTTCACTTAGCCTAATGCCCTTTAGTTTCATTCATGTTGCTACAAATGACAACATTTCCTTCTTTTTAAAGGCTGAGTAGTATTCCATCATGTGTGTGTGTATGTCTCTCTCTGTGTATACATTTTCTTATCCATTCATCTGGTGACTCCATATATTGTCTATTTTGAATAATCCTACAGTGAACATGGGAGTACAGAAATTTCTTCAACATCAAAATCCCTGTGGACATATACCAAGATGTGGGATAGCTAGATCATATGGTAATTTTAGTTTTAGTTTTTTGAGGAACCTCCATACTGTTTTCCATAATGGCTATACTAATTTACATTCCCACAACAGCATATAAAGGTGTTTTTTTTTTTTCCCCCAAGTTAGATGCAGTGGTGCAAACCTGTAATCCTAGCTACTCTGAAGAAAGAGGCAGGAGAATTGCAGGTTCAAGGCCAGTCTGGGCAACTTAGCAAGACCCTGTCTCAAAAGTTCAAAAAGAACTAGAGTAGCTCAGTGGTAGAGTTCTTGCCTAGAATGTATAAGACCTGGGTTTAATCCTTAGTACTGGGCAGGGGAGTCCTTTTTCTTCTCCATGTCCTTGCCAATACTTTTTATAATTTTGTCTTTTTGATAATCACCATCCTCACAGGTGTGAGATGACATCTCTGATTTGAATTTTCATATCCCTGAGTAGTGATGTTAAGTATTTTTTTTCATGATCTGTGAGCCGTTTGGATATGCTCTTTTGAGAAATGCCTGTTTAGCCTCTTTGATTCTGTGTCAGGGTAATAATGCTGGCCCTGTAAAATGAATTTTCAGGTTTCCCCTCTTCTTCAGTGTTTTGGAAAACTCAGGACTGGTGTGAGTTTTTCTTTAAATGTTGCACAGAATTCACCAGTGAAGCTGTCAGGTCTTGGGCTTTTGTTGTTGTCGTTGGGAAGTTTTGAATTAATGATTCGATTTCCTCACTCTTTTACTGGACTGGTTAGATTTTTGTATTTGTTCATGATGGAGTGCTGGGAGATTTCATGTTTCTATGAATCAATCCATTTCTTATTGGTCATCCAAATTTATGGGTGTTTAATTAGTCATCATAGTCTCTATGGTCCTTTGTGTTTCTGTGTTATAATGTCTTCTCTTCCATTTATAATTCCATTTATCTGAGATTTCACTTTTTTTTCTTAGTAAATCTTTCTAAAGGTTTGTCAAACATTTTACCTTTTCAAAAAAGTAATTCTTAATTTCATTGATCTTTTCTGTTCTTTTTTTAGAAAATACTTTTTAGTTGTTGATGTACCTTTATTTTTTATTTATTTTTATGTGGTGCTGAGGATTGAACCTGGTGCCTCACATATGCTAGGCAAGTGCTCTGCCGAGGAGCCACAGCCCCAGTCCCATCTATTCTGTTCTTTTTTCTATCCTTTCATTATTTTTACTGTGATCTTTATTGTTTCCTTTCTTCTTTTGACTTCAAGTTTAGTTTATTCTTCTATTTCTAGGTCCTTGAGGTGTAGAGTCAGGTTATTTGAAATTTTTCTCCTTCTTGACGCAGACAATTTTTTTGCTATCAGCTTTTCTCTTAAATTGGTTTTTGCTGTATCCCACATATTTTGGTATGTTTTGTTTCTATTTGCATTCCTATCAAGATTTTAAAAATTTTCCTTTTTATTTCTTTTCTAACCATTGAGTATTCATGAGTATACTAATTCCCACATACCTGTAAATTGTCCAGTTTTCTTTGTTATTGACTTCTAGTTTCATACTAGAAAACATGGAAAAGATAATTGATACAAATCTTCAAGAATTTGTTAAGATTTGTTTTGTGGCCTGATATTGGATTTATCTTGCAAAATGTCCCATGTGTACCTGTAAAAAAAATTTGTATTCTGCTGCTATTGGGTAGAATATTCTATATATATTTTCTTAGTCTACTTTGTCTATAGTGTTGTTTCATTTCACTGTTTGCTTACTGATTTTCTGTCTGGATGATCAGTCCATCATTGAAATGTACAAGAATGTTGAATGTTGAAGTTGCTTACAACAAATGTAGCCTTGTCTACCCTCTTCAATGAATCTTTTCTTATTTCTATGCCACATGTAGATGCTGTAACCGCTCACCCAAATTTCTTAGTTCATGTGAAGCTATTTTGTGCATGGACGGTTGTTCAAGCTGATGTTTTTGTGAGAGGATGAGTGTTGGGAAATCTTTTCTGCCATCTTGCCGACCTCACTTCTGCTTGTATCTTTATATCACATAATAATCACAATTCTAAAAATGTATGATACATATATGTATATGTGTTCATTCTGTTTGTGATGATTTTTCCATCCAAATACCATATTAAGAACTCCCATAATAAAGTATTCTATTTAAAATATTTTTAATGGTTACATAAAATTCCACTGCTGGATGTACTGAATGTTAGCTAATCCACAGTTGTTTTTGTACATTTATTTTTGCATTATTATAAAGTCTTCCAGTGTTGTGGGCATATCCTTGATTACTTCCTTAGAATCTATTTCTAGAAGTGAAATAGCAGTCAGAGACTACAGAATTTTACTGTTCCTTGTCATTATCACCTTGAGTAAAAAAAGTCAACAGCACTCCCATATCCTACCTTATAAAAGTTATTTGGATATTGTTTCAGATGAAGAAAAGGCAGGCAGTGGCTTCACTTGTGCAGGTCTTAGCTTCATTCCCAATGCTTTCTGTGTTTCATCAGCCCAAACAGATTTGTGATTTGTCTGCAAAATAAAGATTTGGCCTGTAGGTCATGTAGAGGATTTAGAAGTTGTGCCCATAGAGACTTTATATGTGCATAAATGCAACATGAATAACATATCATGCTTCCTGACACATTGCCTGTGAAATGGGTATTATTCACACAGACAAGAGAGAAAATGATTTTTTTTTTAGCAATGTTAACCAGCCAATAATTCTTAAAACAGTTTTGCTTTTGGAATGATCCATAATCATGGAAAGAGAACTTTGGGGCTAAACTGTTAGTCTGCCTTTTCCATATGCATGAATCCTTTTTCATTTCTTCATTTGTTGGTTGATAAATTGATTACTTCAATTCTAGTTCTATGGTAGATAAGTAAAACCACAATAAATTATGGTTGAAACTGTACAAAAGAACATTCCTTTCTGAAGAGTTTTTATATGTCAATTATTTCTTTTTTAGATTTGGATCCTACAAAGAAGGACACAATTATGAAAACAATCATCATTTTCATATGAATACTCCCAAGTACTTTTTATGAACTATTTAAAATAAGAAGTCATTTACTGGGAAAATCTAAGGGGAAAAATATGTACAATAGAAAGAATTTAATGCAAGTGGGAAAAGACGCACGGAGAAGATACATTTTTAAAAATCATGGTGCTATGCAGTGGGGAATTCCATCCATTTCTAACTTATGTTGTTTAATAAAAACATTTATTTAAATCCTTTTTCTTATATTTTTGATCAGGATTTTTAGAAGGGAAAGGGAAAGGTGGCCTTGTAGCCAAGGTGGAACCGTTTGTTCATAAAGCAGTAGATGAAGGAGGTGTTGGAGAGCAGGAAGATGAAGGAGATGGGGGTCCCCGAGAGGTGGCGCTTGGCAGAGATGGTGTCATAGGCCTGACAAGTGGTCGCACTGAATATGGGCAGGAAGAAGAGGACCACGATGACCATGAGCATGGTGATCCCCACTTCTTGGTGATCAGGTTGCTGGCAGAGCCGCTGCTCCTGGAGTGGCTGGGCCTGCCGTGGCTGCTGCAGGTGGACAGCTGCCAGAGCTCAGCTTCCTTGGGTGCTGGGTCTTCTGCAGGTAGCAGCCATTGCTGTGCTCACATTGGCTGCCACTGACTGTGCTTGGTTTCTTCTCTGGGTGGGCAAGTGACATCACTTGTTGGTCAGGAAGGGTCATGTCAGACAGAGGGCATGGATCCTGGCCTCCCTCCATCCGGGAGGCAACATCAAATTTGAACCTGAAGAATCAGGCCACCTTGACCTACATTAAAGTGGGTGAGTATTGATCTGTACTAGTTCTCTCCTTCTAATGAAAAGTCACTTAAAACTTGTAAAATTATATACACACAATATATATTATTAAATAGTAATATTTAATATGTAGTAAATAACTACATAGTAATATAATGGTGTTCCTATTCAAGATAAAATAGTTTTTTTTTTTTTTTTAGAGAGAGTGAGAAAGAGAGAGGGAGAGAGAATTTTTTTTTTAATATTTATTTTTTAGTTTTCCGCGGACACAACATCTTTGTTGGTATGTGGTGCTGAGGATGGAACCCGGGCCGCACGCATGCCAGGCGAGCGTGCTACCGCTTGAGCCACATCCCCAGCCCAAAATAGTTTTAAAATGACACCTTTTCACTGCTTAAAGATAGTAAATTGGCTTATTGATTATCTGAAAGGATTACTTAAAAAAAAGGAGCTTTTGATTCTCCTTGGGACAAAGCAGGGGGAAAACTGTTTACAGATTAAGTCTAATTGTTAGATGAATACTGTGTGAGTGAGACTGCCACTGACTCAAGGGCACCCCACCCCATCATCACCATCCCTGAGCTCTGATAGAATCATCTCTTTCCTCCCATGCTTATGTCACTCCATGGCTAGATGTGACACACTGTGTTGCTGTGTCCAGTCCGTCCACCTGGCTCTCAGGGAACACACCTCATACACAGCAAGATCTCACGGAATGAGTTTTCTTCCTTAGAACAAAACAGGTAGGTAGTGGGGAGGTTTCCCCCCATTTAAACAGATTGTGATTTAAACGTGGCCAGGAGACACATATGATCTTAGAGCTGCAAAGGACCCTAATATTTCCTACCACCACCTTGTACTGAGTACCACATGTAGTTCTGGATATAACAAAAAATGAATAATTTGTTTGTGGTGGCCAGGCTCCTAAACTTACTGGAACATGAGTCAATTTAAGGGCCATATTATTTATCCATTGATGTTTGACAAATGATCCCAATATCTAGTGGCCAGAAACAACCAACAGTTAAAATCTGCTAAGCTAGATGGTTGGGGCACAGGGTCTCTGGTGAAGCTGCAATCAGTTGTCAGCTGGGACTGGTGTCGTCCAAGGTACGACTAGGGCTGGAAGGTCAGTTCTTCACCACCTGTCAGTGAAGCTGAAAGCACATGGCAGCTGATTTCTCTGAGAGCCAGACAAAGGCAGATTTAGGCTTGGGGTCACATGCCCTAAACACCAAGTGTGGGAGTTGGGAAGTTACAAAGACAGCTTGAATAGGAACTAGTGATCATTTACTTGCTATTGCATTGGATGCTTTACCAACATTGTCTCTGACAAGACAACACTATTGCAAGGTTAAGTAATCCAGTTACCAACTGGAATCTCTCTAGCTTTCATCTCTGGATAAGACAGCCAGAATCCCCATTCCATTCCGTCTTCCCCAGGACTTGGGTGACTTGTGGGAGGTGAAGGGCACAAGACTCATGCTCTTGTAGTCACTTCTCTCACCGACCTTCCACTGTGATATTCCAGTCTCATCTTTGCATTTTTGACCCCTGAATTCTGTTACTGTGCAAGGTAAGCACAAGGAGAGAATGTGTTTAATACACCTAGAGAGCACCCAGGGCTCAGCAGGTGCTCAGTATGTTCCAGAGTTCTGGGGAGGCAGATCTCCACTGAGGCAGCAAAGCTCCTCTCATGGCCAGCAAATGGAACTTGGCTCTTGCCTCTTGACTTCCTCAGAATGAAGTAAAACAAAACCCTCTGTTTTAGTGTGTCTTGTATTTTACTGAAGGTGTGAAAAGATAGGAGTTGACATGATAGAAACTCAAAACATCTTCAAATAGATATTCCCTGGTTTCATGAATCTTTTATCTCCTTCACATATGTGTAGCAGATCTCTCTCCTCTGGGGTTTTCCACACCTCCTCCATATTTCTGTTGATTTCTCATGCAAATTAGCTTAATTATCTCTTCTTCTTAGTCTTCTGTTTACTAATCAGGCTTTTGGGACTTCATCTTCCATCTAAAATGGCTCATCCAAATGGGAGATTGTAGTACATCTCTCAATGAGTGATAGAGCAGGCAGAAAGTCTGAAACAGACATTTAAGTGACATATCTAAAACAGTGCCTGAAAGTAACTTCAAATTGCTCATTCAAGTGCATGTAGAACATTTACCAAAATTGGACCATGTGCTAAGATAGAGAGCAAGACTGAGCAAACATCAAAATTCTGAAAACAGATTATATTTTCTAGGGACAATAAATTAAAACAAATAATAAAAAGATAACAAGAAAGCCCTAGGTATGGAAATAGAAAAACAAACTTCTAAGTAATCCATGAGTAAAAAAATATATATCACAATGAAAAATGTTTTGAACTAAATAGTAATGAAAATATAGCCCATCAAATATCAAAAGTTTTGGAATGCATTTTGTGTTTTGAGGAAAATGCACAGATTAGAAAAGAAGAATAGCTAAAAATCAGTTTCTTAAGTTTCCAACAGGAGAATCTTGAAAGTAAACAGAAAATTAAACTTAAAGGAGAGTAGAATAAACCAGGCACAGTGTCACATGCCTATAATCCCAGGGGCTCAGGAGGCTGAGGCAGGAGGATCACCAGTTCCAAGCCAGCTTCAGCAATGGTGAGGTACTAAGCAATTCAGTGAGACCCTGTCCCTAAACACAGAATAGGGCTGGGGATGTGGCTCGGTGGTTGAGTACCCCTGAGTTCAATCCCCAGTACTAAAAACAACAACAACAACAAAAGAGTGTAGAATAAAGGAAATAAGGGTAAAAGCAGAAACTAATGAAAGGGAAACAAACAATAGATAAAAATCTACAAAACCAATAGTTGGTAAACTAATAAAATTAATAACTCTTTGGTAGGCCTGATCAAAAAAAGAAGGAAAGCAAGAAGGCTAACTAGCCCAACACTAGTAAAGAGAAAGAAGTATAACTACAGATCTTACAAACATTACAAAGAAAATGAGGGAATTTATGAACAATCTCATAATAATTAATTTTCCTTAAAAATATAACGTACCACAACTAATGCAAGAAAAAATAGGAAACCTATTACAGAAATAGAATTCACAATTAAACAAACAAAGCAGAATTTCTGAACTGCACATCAAGATCAGAAGCAAGAAATGAGATCCAGTGACCCTCAGCTCATTCCTGGTGGCTGGATTGTGCTTGCTCTCCCCCTTTTTTATGTTCTTTTTCCTTTTTCCACAGCCTTCCATGTGGAATCTGGCTCTGGCATTAGGCCTGAAGACAATGAATGGCCTTACAGAGATGGCTCAATCCACTTCCACAGTTGTGTAGGGTCAAGTCTCTGTAATAAATATTTACGTGTATTTTAGTAGTTCTGTTTCTCTGATTAAGTCCTGATATGACTTCTCACAATGAAAACTCCAGGCGCAGATAGCTTACCAGTGAATTTAACAAAATAAGAAATTATACCCATCTTAGCCTCTTTCCCAGAGAAACAGAAAATGTGGACTAATTGTTAACTTCTCTGAAGTTATGTGGGATACTTCTTAACTTGTATTAAGTTAGCATAACTTTGGTATCTGTGAAGGTTAATTTCTTTTGTCAACTTGACTAGGCCATTAGGTGCCCTTATAGTTGGTTAAATATATTCTTGGGTGTGTTTGTGTGGGTGTTCTGGCTGTGATTAACATTTGCATGGGTAGACTGAGTAAAACAGACTGTCCAACCTGATGTGGGTGGGCCTCATCCAACCCACTGGAACCCTGAACAAAAAGGCAGAGTAGGAAGAATTCATTCTCTCTACCTGACTCTCTTTGAGCTGGAACATTGGTCTTCTCCTGCCTTGGGTTTGGACTTGGAGTGGCACTCACACTAATGGTTTTCCTAGATCTTAGGTCGTCAACTCAGATGAGAATAATACCATCAATTCTTTTAGGTCTCCAACTTGTTGACTGCAGATCTTGGGACTTCTTAGCCTCCGTGGCCATGTGTGTCAATACCTTATAATAAAAACCTCTCTCTTTCTCTCCCTCTTCCTGCATCACAATTGGCTGCACTTTTCTGGTGAACCCAGAATAATGTAATATCAAAATTGAAAAGTACGTTAAATTAAGGGAAAAAATTATGGCTCTATAATATACATAGTTATATGTTTTAGAAACAAAATATTAGCAAAACAAATATATCCTTCTATAATAAGATAATAGTATGTGACCAATTCAGGTTTCTTCCAGGAATGCAAGGTTAGTTTAATGCTCCACATCAACAATGTATGTAAAAATAGATGTGAGAAGCATTTAACAAGTCTTAACACCCATTCATTATTTAAAAAAAATAAAAACCTGTTAGCATACTAGGAAGAGAAAAAACTTTCTTCATCGAATAAAGTGTACAGAGGGCTCCTTGGATTATAGTGGGGTTATATCCTGACAAACCCATCATGAATTGGAACTATTA